CCCTTGCGCGCGCGCTGGAAGGGGGGCCGCGATCCGCGGCGCATCATACCACGCGCGTCGGCCGCGCGCGCATGTCGAGTTCCTTCAGAAACCTTCATCCCCGACGCGACGACATCGTCATCGTTATCCGCGGGAGTGATCAACGTCGGCGCCGTCATTGCCCTTGCCGCCATTATCGCAGCCGTCGCCACCATCGCCACCAGCATCACCACCATCAGAATCGCGTCTACCGTTGAGCGAGCACGCGCGGGCCAGCGCGGCCGCAGGGATGCACCAGCCAACGCCAGGCACTCATCGCAGTCGCCACCGCATGGGTCTTGCAAATCAAGTTGCGGGTCGATAAGCGGGATGTTTGCAAGAGCGCGGGATTGGTCAAACCGAGTGCACCAAACAAATTGAACCACGCTGATTGCACCACATTGACTGCCAAGGTTGCACCATATTGGTTACCCTTTCTAAACAGGAACCGATATCTACCACCCCCCGATGGCGCAACATCTACCACCCCCCGATGGCGAGATTATCCGCACCCTGGGGATGCGTAGCGCACGTAGGCCCATCAAAAGACCCCGCAGACAAAAACAAATCCCGGCATCCCTGGCAAGAACCAGCGCGCAGTGCACACGCGCGCGTCGTCGCGCGCGCACGCCGAAATCCTGGACAAAAGACCTTTGGTTTCGCGCGAAGTGCACAGTCGAGCGCCCCTGGAAGCACATGCTTGCGCAGCATGACTTCTCAAACAAGGTCAACGCGTGCGTCCTTGCGAATTCTTATAAAAAAGAACCAGCGGTTCTTCAACGTTTCCATCGCATGCGACCAGATGGGCCTCTCGCGCGCGCTGAAATCATTCGAGCGCCCTTGCGCCCGCGCGGGGGGGGGGGGGTCGGGGGCGCGGTTCCTATCCAAAAAATGCGGGCCATTCGCGCCCGACGACTGCGAGCGCATGCCGAAATCCTTCCAAAATCTTCACCACCGACGCGTGGACACCATCATCGTCATCGGCGTGATCAACATCGGCGCCGCCAGTGGCCTGCCGTCGTCATCGTCATCGTCGTCACCAGCATCGCTACAACGATCATCGTGTCTGCCGTTGTCGACGTCGCCATGATGCCGCGCATGCCCAGGTCACCGACTGACACTGAAGTACCCGCGCGTCAGCGCGGTTTGCCAGACGCGCTGGGATGTCCCCACCTGTCAGCGCCACCTCGGCCGCGTCGGTCGCCCCAGACTATCGCTGCCGAGCGCACGAGCCTGCGCGCGTTAGCGCGGCCGCAGCGATGCGCCAGCCAGCACCAAGCAGCCATCGCAATCGTCGCCGAATGGGTCTTGCAAACCAAGTTACCGGTGGGTGGGCGGGGTAATTGCGCGACCAGTGGATTTTTGACAATTTCAGGTTCGATTGGGCGAATTCCACCAACCACATACATCGCCCCGTTTCCATCGCATGTATTACACCACGTCAATTGCGCCACATCGGTTGCTAGAAACACACTGGTTGGGGCCCACGTTGGTTGACATTGAATATCTTAAGACGGAAACCGAAACCGTTATCGTGACAAGTCTTGGCAGTGATCAAAATGACATTCGAATCACGCAAGCCGACCCACACCAGGAATGGGGTCGGGCCAATCGCGGTCACGGTGTAGGAGAACTTACATGTAAAACCATTGTCAAAAACGCGTACGGCGAATCACACCGCCATGTTTCTTTGGAATCGCTTATATGGCCGAACGCCCCACCCGGCCCCTTACCAAAAAAACATGCATAACAATTTGCTATAAAATGGCCAGGGGGGGGTGGCATTGTGGGGGGGGGTGTTTCAAAGTCGCGGGCGCCCATGGGGGGTGCCTGCGCCGAGAAAGCGACCAGGCGCCCGAGGGGGCTGCCTGCGCGACGCTACTTCGCGCGGAATGCAGGGCGTCCCGCGCGCCGCTGCCCAAGAGCTTGCGGCGGGGACTCACCCTGCATTTTCCGCGCGAGTTTTTCAAGCAGGGCTTGCGGTGCCCAGCGTATCTTTCTACGGAAGATGTTGTTTTGCTTTTGTTTTTGTTCCCGCAAATTCTGCCCGTCCTCATTCCCCACGGCTTTCCTCGCCCATGAAGCGGCAGGAGCTTCATTCGCCAATTCGCTCCGCTTCAGCGGGAGGCGGAGGAGGCGGATGTACGACTGCACGCTTCCTGGCGCGGTGGAAGGAGCCCAGGTGGCTGGGCATTGCATGAGCAGCCACTTCTGTGGGCCGAACGGCCAGCAGCAAGTTCGGAGCACACTTTCTTAGGGCGTGGTATGCTCAACTAGGGGGGGTACAGATTTAGCCGGGGGTGGGATGGCCATGGCGTGCCGAATTGGGGGGTACGGGAACAGGAGGAGGAGGAGGAGGAGAAGGAGGAGGAGGAGGAGGGGAAGGAGGGGGAGGGGGAGGGGGAGGGGGAGGGGGGAGGGAGGAGGGGGAGGAAGGGGGAGGGTGGCAGGCCAGGCCACAGAGAGAGCAGGGCCCCCGGCACGCGGGCCTTGAGCGCGCTTGCTGGCGGGTCCAGCCTTGGGCCGCCGGTGCGCGGGCCTCGCACCACGCGTGGCAACGGCGAGGGTCTCGGCCAGCACCGTCCCCTGCGAGCTCGCCGCGCCGGTGTTGGTCGAGGTCCAAGAAAGCATGAAGGCAAACACGCGAACACATTCGGCCATGGTTGTTTTCGCTGTGTAGAAATACTCACGTATACACACATGCACAAAACAGCACTCTGTCTGCTCAGACAGGCCTGGACCAGGCGCTGGCATCACTCGCCATACACCAGGTAGCTTGACGGGGCAATGCGCTGGAGCTCCCCTGCTGCTGCGCGCGTGGCTACGCAAGCGACACCCGCGGAGATGTTTTTTCTAACCTGCTGCGGCTGACGCTTTACTTTTTACACCCAGGTTTTCAACGCCGGGCTGCGTCGAGTGCGCGTGCCATCAGAGTTTGACCCCGGCCTCGAGGGTCAGGAGAGATGAAGTTAGACCCGAGTGTGATGATAACAGTTGCCGGGTCTTGGGCAGTTGCCATCTGTCAGTTCTTGGGTGTGGGCCAGCTGCGATTGTTCTTAGGGAAAAAAGTGGGTCCTCCAGACCTTCGATGTCCTGTTCATCTCAGTACGAGGGGCTCCGGAACTCGCGGCCCCAACGCCCAAGAGCTCCGATGCTGTTCTTCTTTGCAACGGAGGGCCCGCAGGTTCTCGCCCCCTTCTCCAGGACAGGCTTTTCGGATTTTCGTCATGGGTCACGTTGCCCCCGCCACGTCGGTTGCCCCTTCAAAATGCTCCGTTCGACCTGAGATTAAGATGGCGAGCAGGAATAAGATCGAAGTTGTCCAGAAAAATACCCGACACAAAATGAATGGTCAAACATCTTGCAACATATTTTTCAACCAGGCAAATGTTACCAATTTCTCCGTCGAGGTTGTCCGAGCCAACTACCTGCTATTGCTTCATAGCTCTCCAAGGGTTCAGGTAGGCAGCGCAGGGTATCACGTTGTTTATTTCTAAGTATTCGAGAGTTCTTTGATTTTGGGTGGCCAGACCCTTTCATTTCGAATTGTTGTATCCTGGGCCTCTTCCTGGCCACCAGGGGGCCAGGCACAATTAGCAACGAGCACAGTCAGACATGAGCACGAGTAGAAATATACGACGTGCAGGGAGGCCGAGCGTTGTCCAAGCACTGTCCGTCGACAAGAAGCTCTCGCGGCGCGCGGGGGTCTGGGACTCGCGCGGCAGTCGCGGCGTGGGCCGCGCTCCGTGGGCGCCCAGGGGGCACGAGCGGACCGCCGTGGGGCTCGGCCTCTCCCGGGACCCGCCACCAGGGAAGAGGGGCCCTCCGAGGCGCCAGGTCCAGGTCGGGCCTGTCCCATACAGGGGGATGTTGGACGAAAAATAGACCATGTCCAAACCAGATTCAAAAAAGACTGCCCCGAAAATACTCAACAAAAAAATAGTCCCGACTATTTTTGGAGATTCCCCCTGTAGAGGGACAGGCCCTCCCAGTAGAAACATAGAACAGATTCAAACAAAATTCAAAAGATGCCCAAAAACACTCAAAATATAGTCCCCCGACGATTTGTTGACTGTTTTGGGATATTCCCCAAGTAGGGACAGGCCCGACTTAACACCGGGGCTTGCCCTGGGGCTGGCCCCCCGAGAGCCGCCGCCCGCCTCGGCAGCCCCGCGGGCCCAGGAGGGGGCTCCTCAGGGGGACCCGCGGCCTCCTCCTCTTCCTCCTCCTTCCTCCTCCTCCTCCTCCTCCTCCTCCTCCTCCTCATCATCATCATCATCATCTGCCTCCTCCTCATCATCCTCGGCAGGGGAGCCGTGACCAGGCTCAAGTCGGGCTTGTCCCTCTACAGGGGGAATATTCAAAAATAGTCCAAAAATAGTTTGGGGGCCATTTTTGTAATACTTTGGGGGCATATTGTGGGCCTTTTTGGTGTATTTTTTGTGTTTCGTCCAAAATCCCCCTGTGAGGGGGACAGGCCCGACTTAAGACCAGGCCTCTCTCGCGCCTTCTCGCTGGGCCGCGGGGGCGGGCCGAGGGCCTAGAGAGAGGCCGCCGCGGCGGCGAGGCCCAGGCGGCCCCGCCAGTGGCAGTTGTCGGCGGGACCTCGTCGCCATCGTCTGCGGAGGGCCCTCGTCGGGGTCGCCGGGTCGTGGGCGGGGCCCTCCGGCGCCTCCCTCTGTCCCTCCTGCTGGCCTCGCCTGGCCTCCTACGCATCCTCCGTTCCCTCCTCCGTTCCCTCCTGTCCCTCCTTCTCCTGCCTCCACTCCGATCTCTCCGCCCTCCCGCTGTCTTGCGGGGGCGCCCGAAGGTATTCGGGGCTCGCTTGGTACCCGCTGTGGCCCCGCTCACATCCCCCTTGAAAGTTCAGCGACGACGACGACCGCGGTCACGGCGACGGCGGTGACAGCGATGGCGACTTGGACGACCCTGACAACGACGACGACGGACGGCGACGGCGACGGCTTGGGCACGCCGGGCAGGCCATGAGGGCCTACGCGCAAAACGTGTACAAGTGCAAGCAGGACTTGCCGTGGTCGGACTGGGGCGAGGACTCTGCCCGCACTGCAGAGGGGGGCCCGCAGTCGCCGCCGCCGCCGCCTTGCAGAGGAGCGTTTGGCAGGGCCGCCTTGCGGAGGAGCGCGAGGCGGAGAGCTGAGGAGGGTTGAGCTTCGGCGGCGCGCCGAGGGGGAAGCGAGAGGGGGCAGGCCTCCTCAGGAGTCGGCGAGGCCTCTGGGAAGGCTTGGGATGAAAGATGTTTCAGACAGGGCTGGACCTAAACGGTGTTTTTGGTGATTTCGTGGGCCGTTTTCGTTTCGACTTCGTTTTGCGGGAAGTGTGGATTCGAGACAAAAGCGAGGGAAAACGAAAACAAAACGAAAGCGAAAAGCACCGTTTAGGTTCAGCCCTGGTTTCAGAAGGCTGGAGGCCTTCCGAGAACCTTCGGAGCCTTCTGAGCAGGCCCGCCCCTCTGCCTCCCCCTAGGGCGCGCCGCCGAGACGCAGACGAAGGAGAATCGCTGAAGACCCAAGCTGCATCACATGCTCGGCGGCGACCGAGGGGGGGAAGTGAGCAGAGGAAGGCCTTCTCAGAGGGTTCGGAAGTCCCCCGGCCTTCTCAGAAGCTTTCTAAGCCTTCCCCGAAAACAGAGGCGCGAACCTCTCAAGAAGGCGCGAGGGCTTCTGAGGGGCCCCGCCGCCTTCTGAGAAGGCCTTCTCCTTCTCGCTTCCCCCCTCGCTCGCCGCCGACATACGTACGTAAACCTTCGAAGGTCCACCCCAGCGGCGCCTCTGGCGCCGCCCATGGCGCGCTCCGCGCGCCGGGGAGAGCACCGCAGCTCCAAGGAGTCCGCGCGGACCTCCGACAGTTCACAATCTGCGCAGATGCTTCTTACAGCGCGAGAAGAGGCGCCATCATCCACCACCCGCATGTGGCCACGCGCCCAGCGAGTGGGGCCCACGTGATGCCCCCCCTCGAGGGCGGAGGTGCTGGGAGGTGCCCCGAGCGGGGCGCCAGAAGACGGCGCCACGCCACAGGCGAGAGCTTTACCCAGGCCGGCTGGCCGGCTCCTATGTACAGCTGCGCGGCGGCTGCCGAACTTCGGGGGATGCCAGCCCGTCGGTTTTGGACCCGCCTACGGGCCGTTTGCTGTCCCCGCCGCGTGGCCGATGGCGCGTCAAGAAAAGGAAGTGCTCCTGGCGAGGGCGGCGCCAGTGTTGATGCTCCTCTGGGCGGCGCGCCGTGCGGGGAATCGGGGGGGGGGGGGGGACGGGCCTCGTGGGGCGGCGGCGGGGCTTCTGAGAAGCCCTCCGGCCCTCCGGGAAGCCCGGCGTGGCCTCGAGGAAGGCTTCGAGAGCCGAGCCTTCGGAGAAAGCCCGCCCCCTCTGCCGTCCCCAAAAATCACCGAGCGCGTTCCACTACTCGCAAAGTGCCTACTCGCAAACGTCCGAGAAAAAACACGTGTCTGCCTTGATGTAATGTGTCGTAGATCCTCCACGGGGGATCCAGGCCATTTGCGAGCAGTCACTCTGCGAGTAGTGGAACGCGCTCGTCTAGAGAAGGGCGCGCCGCCGATCCTGCAGCCGAGCAGCTGGAGGACCACGTCGGGCCCAAGGGGGGCTCCGGTGCCTGGGCCGCTCCTCGGAGCCAGGCCGCGGAGCTTCTGTTCGTGGCGGATGTTCGCCGTGGGCCCCGGGGAGTGCCCTTCCGTGCCTCGCCCGCGGTGCCTTCTGGCAGCACAGTCAGCCCGCACAAGAAGGATGGGCAACCTTCCCAAGGATACCCTTTTGCATCCTTGTCCCTTCGGCCCATCCTTGGCCACTTTCTCTGGCCGCGCCCCGCTCGAAAAGCATCGAAATGGCCCTCCAAGGCCCCTGCATCCTTATCGCGCATCCTTACTATACGGGCTGACTGTACACGCTGTTCGTCTCTCGGGGGTGGACAGACCTCCCACCCTGACACGTTGATTGAGGAGTTGGCCGTTTTCGGTTCGCGAGAGGGCGTCGCGGCCGTCATTCTTGCGGGTCCAGGTCCGTCGGTTTCGGTTCCAGGCCGCTTACACTAAAGGGAGGTTTACTAAAAGGAGGTTTGTCCACCGCCGAATCTCTAAGTCTTCGAAAGTTCTTTGATTTCTGTTGGGGGCCAAGATCCTTTCATTTCTGATTGTGCTATCCCGGGCCTCTTCCTGGCCACCAGGGGGCCAGGCACAATTAGCAACGAGCACACTTAGAGATGAGCACGATTAGACATGAACGACGTGTACGATGATTGCACCCTATGCCGGTGCAGTCCTCCTTCCCGACTGATGCGACGATTCGATGCTTTGTGGGCGGGGGTACGAGATGTGACTCTCCCTCTTTCTCTCTCTCTCTCTCTCTTGCGGGATTTCCTTGGGCGTGCCTCTAGACTGATGCTGGTCTGTTTCCAGAACAGCTCCAACAAAACATGCGTTCCTCCCAGGGCTTCCCACCCTCCGCGGGGGGGAAGCAGCGGCAACTATCCCGCCTGGAGAAGCAGCGACCAGGAGCCATGAGCCCGCCGGCCCACTGTCGATCTAGAGAGGGAGTCGACCACACGTAAGAGTGAACCTTCGCCAGAGTGACCTTTGGTGCGGGCTCATCGGGCTCCCCCCGATCGCCGAGCGAAATGCGATATAAGCGGCCTGCGCCCTTGGGCTTGGCTCCCTCGCGCCCCCAGGAGCTGCGCACCAGAGGCCACTCTTGCCCAGGGCCGCTCTGACGTCCAGCCGGGGGAGGAGCGGCGGAGGCAGGGAGGGGAATCACGAGCCCCAGCCTCCGAGCGGCCCCCCCCCCCCAGAAAAAACACGTTCGGGGGCGAGCCGGCGCGGAGGGCTCCCGCGGCGGCTCCCGGCCAGGACTTCTTCCTCACCCGCTGCATGGACCAGATCGGGGTGGGCAGGCCCGCCGGCCGCCCGGAGGGGGCGGGGGGGGGCACCGTCGCCGCGGCCGCCCTGGATGCGCTCGGGCGGCCGCCGGCTGCTGCTCTCTCTGCCTCCGGAGGCCCGCGGGGCCCCTCGCGGGCCGCCTCGTTCGTCGCAGGGGGGGGGGGAGAGGGAGGGGCAGGGAGGGGTGAGGGAGGTGAGGGGGAGACGAGGCGGAGGAGGAGGGGGAGGAGGGGGAGGCGTGTGCATCAGAGGCCCAGATCGCAGAGCGATTCGCTGCTTGGCTCAGGTTGCGTGTTGCTGCCTTTCGGCAGCACGCACAATCAGGACCCGTCTATGCTACGAGTAAAAGAGCGCGTCGTCCTCTTCATAACCGTTCTGGAGAACTCGCATGGCATCGGATCGAGGTGGTTACGACGGGACATGTTTAAGGAATACCGACTACACGTCAACAATTCTTCGAATGCAATTTGCACATTTGTGGAGCCAATTCCACGTCAGCGATACAGCAGGGTATGATTTCATCAAAGCCGTTCTCAAGGCCAATCACCGTGGAGCCGTAACCTACATCAGTGAGCACGAGCAGTCAAATGTCAAACGAACGTGCCTTCACGCTAATGCAAGTGCTTGGCAAATATGATGTGGAACGCGTAAACTGATTTAACATTGAACGCATACATGTGTTAGAGACTAGCAAGGTCGGGAGAGTGATGTAGAACTGGAGAAGCTTAGTGATGGCAAGTTGAACCACAATGACAGATTGAAGAAACTCGCAGACAAACCAAGTCCAAGCAACGGTCGAGGTAACTGGCGAACAATAGACGAAACAAGGGTAATCCAAGCGTTGAAGAACTTCAGCCGTGACAAGTCGAAATTACGTGAATGGAACGAGCGGTTACAATGGAAACCGCCCAGCATTGGAGACGCCCTGAGCCAATGTGGATGCCCTGGGCGGAACGGTACCAGATCCGAGTGACGAAGGTAACAAGGACAGACTACTGAATTGTAAACCCAGTGCGGCTGAATCCAACAAGGCAACGGGAGAGCGGCATTCACAAGACGATACCAGTGAAGACTACACATCGGAAGAGGACGAAGTAAACAAGTTAGACGGTGATCTGTGGCACACGCTCACTTACAATATGGAAAACATTGACACCCGAGGTAAGTACGCGCGGGTCGCACGAGGGAGAAGGACTGACCGCTTACATTGACATGTTCGCGTAGCCCACCAACCCATCCAGAAACCATGCCCAGACTTGTTGCCCGGATCAGGGATGTGGAAGAGCATACAGTGGAATGAAGGGGTGGGCGAGACCTCGTACCCTAAGATGGGGAGGTTGGAGGAGGAATCGGTAGAGCAGGGAGAGGAGGAGGGGGAGGAGGAGGAGGAGGAGGAAGAGGAGGGGGAGGAGGAGGAGGAGGAGGAGGAGGAGGAGGAGGAGGAGGAAGAAGAGGAGGAGGAGAGGGAGGAGGAAGAGGAGGAAGGAAAGGGGGAGGGGGAGAGGGAGGAGGAAAGAGGAGGAATATGCGGATGAGGGAGAGGAGGAGGAGGAGAGGGAGGAGGAAGAGGAGGAGGAGGAGGAGGAGGAGGCGGAAGAGGATAGCGAACAGAAAGGCCAAAAGTTTCTTGGATGCCTCTGGGAGTCTGTTCGGATCTCTGCCGGTAGTTGTGCGGAGTTTTCTTGGGGTATTTTGAGGGTCTCTTGGCAGTCCCGCGTGCCTCTTGAGGCGCTTTGGGGGCTTATGGGGAGCCCCTGGAGGGCATCCTGGGGGCCTTTTGAGGGCCTCTTGGGGCTTCCTTGGCACCTTCCGAGGCCTCCCAGGCCGCCCTTGAGAGCCTCGGGTGCCATGTTGGGGCCATCTGAAAGGAGATCGATGAAAAAAGGGACCGTACTGCATTAGTGTCCCGCCCCCCCAGGAGTCCAAGATGTGACGAAAACCGTTGTGAAAGCAATGAGTTTGGTCTTGTCGCCAGGCGCCTGTGGGGGCGTCTTGGGGGTCTCTTGGGAGCCTTTTTCTTGGGTATCTCGGGGGCCTGTTGAGGGCCTCTTGGGGCCTCCTGGGCACCTCTTGGGGCCGTCTTGGGGAGCCCTTGGCAGCTTTGGGGGCCTTCTCATGCGAGATCGATCAAGTTGGTGGGGGTTCCCCATTAGAGATCGTGGATCGGGTTGGCCTGACATTTGTTGATCCGCAAGTGTTTGATCAAATCCAGCCGCTCGAGCCAGTAGATCGCCCTCCGAGGGACTGGGCGAGGGCCGCCGCAGGGGCTGTCTGCGGACTGGCACACTTGGGCGCATCGTAGCACGGTCAACGCTGCACGTGCCAGGTGGACCTCGGCAAGGGCTTCTCCGTGGATCGCGAGCTGCTCAGGCTGCTGGAGGGTCAGCTCCAGCGCCGCGGGCCCGCCAACCTCACAGCGCCTGCCCCGTGTCCCGTGCCTGAGTGCTTGGGCTGCCCTGGTCCCGTGGCAGCGTTCACCTTCGCGCTGGGCTTCGCCGCCTCGTCCACGTCAGTCTGGATCTGGCTGCACCGCGGGGGGCGCCATCGGCCTCGAAGGCTCCGTGTCAGTCGGCGTGAGCGATGGCAAGCTCTCTGCGCCAGGGCCAACGGGCGCTCGTCTCCTACGACGTGGACCCTCTCGAGTTCTCGTGGCATGAGAGGATTCTCTGCGCGCGCGTCGTGCGCCAAAGCGAGCCGCTGGCCACGCGAGCCCCCAAGCTGGCGCCTCCAGCGCCGGGCCTGGGAGGCGGCTTCCGACGGTGGACGCCGCCGTCGCATCCAGGGGAACTTCAGGCCCCCAGCAAGACAGGGGAGCTGGGCGACTCGCCAGCGCAGGACGCCCCCGAGCTCCTGTGGCTCACGCCCGTGCTTCTTCGCTGGAAGGCCGCGCTGGCGCCGCGCGAGCGACTCTGGAGCTTCGAATACGCACGGCTGCGCGCAGAGCTCGAGAGCGCGCTATCGGCGCTCGGGCCACGCTGCGCCCTATTCGACGCGGAGGGGCGAGCCACGACAGGATCGTCGATCGGCTGTCGTTCGAGGAGGTGGCAAACGGGGAAGGTCACGTGCTCGTCTGTCGGTTCGACGACGCGAGAAGCACGGCCGCCCGGCGCTGCAGGCGTCGCAGGCCCCCGCGAGCGTCCAGGAGCAGCTGCGCCTCAGCGAGAGGAGGTTGCCCAATCCGTTCGCCCGCAGCCCCGCGCGGCCCTCAGCCGAGCGCGGCTGGGCCGCGAGCGAGTCGCCGTTGAGGTTTCCTCGGGGCCAGGCCGTCTGCCCGCTGCGCTCCGCGCCCGAAGGGCCGCCACCGTCGAATGGGATGCCCTTCGCGGCCCGGCGTTTACGCCGAGGCAGCCAGCTTCGAGACTTTCAAAGGCTGGGTTCTGAGCGGTGAGATATGCACCCCGCGGCTTGGCACCCTTTCATCTCCTTCCCGTTGGTCGGGGGGGCTGACTAAGTCGGGGCCCGGACCGCTTCGGTCGAACGAGTTTCCTCTCGGGCCCCCCGGCCCCCCTCGGGCCAATCGGTCAAAAGTCCAAATCGGCGACAAGCCAAGGCAAATCTCAGCTGTGCTCGCGAGGCTCGCCCACCAAAGGGGGAACCCCAGGGGGGGCCAGAGCCCCGCTTTCTTGCGTTCGGGGCGCCGCCCTCGCAGCGCCAATCTGCTTCGTTTGAAATCGGCCCAGGACGTTCTCGCCGACGCGCGCACGCGGGGCGAGCCGTGGCGGAAGCGCGCTACTAGTAGGCTGCACCTCTGGCATGTCCCCAGCCATTCCCTCCGGCGACAGCGCCGCGGAAAAGGGCTGCGCGAGCGCGCCAACTGCAGACGCCAGGGACTCGAGGGAAAGGCCCCAGGAGGCTGCTCTTGGACGGCCGCTGCCCAGCCGAACCCCCAGCTCTCGCGCCGCTCCCTCGCCATTTCCTTGGTCGACGCCTCTTGCGACCGCCGCCTGGCTCGGCCGTGGGATTTGCGCAAGAGCTAACGGTTATGCCAGCGCGCTAATGGAATTCGCCGTGGATGTGGCGAAGAGTTGTGTTGGTGTCAGACACTTGTAACGTTCCTTTGCACCGTCGCTGCCGAGGCAGTGCCGCGCGCCCTCTCAAGCTTGCGCTGGAGTAAAATTACAGGCCTTAGAGATCGTGGATCGGGTGGGCCTGACATTTGTTGATCCGCACTTCCTGAATCAAATCCAGCCGCTCGAGCCGCCCACCCGCGCGCCACCCTTTTTTATGTTCTTTCTGTTGGCTCCCGCACTAGTTCGCAAGTTCAACAAGCCAAGAGTTGTTCCCCACATCCAAAGTGGGGCTCTCGTTTCCTCTGGACACCCCGCGCAGGAACACACAGGAACACACGCAACATCAGCACCCACTCACTCACTCACTCACTCACTCACTCACTCACTCACTCATCGTTGATTCACTCTGTCATCATGTCGCCATCACTCACACACTGATCATCCGAAACATCAATAGCATCATCACCACACCATCATCAACATCAGTAGCATCATCACCATCACCATCACTCACTCACTCACTCACTGTCGTCACTCTGGGGCTCCTGAGGCTTGAATATGGGGGAAGTATCAGGTGGGGGCCTCATCTGCGAGCGAAGGAAGTCTCAGGCGGGAGCCCCCCTACCTATGGGGCCCGCATTTCATGTTTTGAATCCGAGCTGGTCATCCTCATCCTTGTAACTGTCGTCACTTTAGGGCTTCTGAGGATTGGATATGGAGGAACTATCTGGCGGGGGTTTCGTCTGTGAGTGAATTGCGCGGAAATCTCAGGCGGGGGCCCCCTACCCATGGGGCCCGCATTTTTTACGTTTTTAATCCGAGCGGGTCATCCTCATCCTTGTCATTGTCGTCGTTTTGGAGCCCCCGAGGCCTGAATATGAGGGAAAGATCAGGCGGGAACTTCGTTTGTTAGTGAATTGTGAGGAAGTCTCCGGCGGGAGCCCCCTCCCTATCGGGCCCGCATTTTGCGTTTTCAATCCGAACGGGTCATCCTCATCCTTGTAACTGTCGTCACGCTCCTGAAGCTTTAATATGGGGGAAATATCAGGCGGGAACCTCGTCTGCGAGTGTATTGCGAGGAAGTCTCGGGCGGGAACCGTTGCCTCATGGCGCCCGCATTTCCAATGTTTTACCCGAGCGGGTCATCCTCAACCATGTAAGTGTCATCACTTTGGACCTCCCGAGGCCTGAACGTGGGGGAAGTATCGGGCGGGAGCTTTGTGTGTGAGTGAATTGCGCGGAAGTCTCAGGCGGGAGCCCCCCCCCCTATGGGGCCCGCATTTCGCGTTTTCAAAGCGAGCGGGACGCTCCCATCCTTGTAGCTGTCGTCACGCTGGGGTTCCCGAGGCCTGAATATGGAGGAAGTGTCCGGCGGGAGCCTCGACTGTGAGTGCGCTGTGAGGAAGTCTCCGGCGGGAGCCCCCTCCCTATGGGGCCCGCATTTCGCGATTTCAATCCGAGCGGGTCATCCTCATCTTTGTAACTGTCGTCACTTCGGGGCTCCCGAGGCGTGACCATGGAGGAAAATCAGGCTGGGAGCATCGTCTGTGAGGATATTCGAGAATGCGCCTGCGCTGGCCGAGGCGGCGACGGCGTCGAGGAAAATCGACGCGCGCGCGCGCTCTTGCAATACAGGGTGGCGAGACAAACAGCAGGAGGGCGAGGCAAGGGCAACGCGGGGAGCGGGTGAGGGCCTTGCGCCAGGGCGAGAATGATAATGACGCGGAGAAGACAATTCCTCCGACGGTAGGACCTCGCACGAGAATATGCTTAGTTTGCTTGGGGATATCCTCCTGCCCCCTCCCTTTTCCCACACACTCCTGCCTCATCCTTCTCCTGCCTGCCCCTCCTCCTGCCTCATCCCCTGCCTCTTCCTCTTGCCTCCTCCTTCACCTCCTCCTCCTCCTCCTCCTCCTCCTCCTCCTCCTCCTCCTCCTCCTCCTTTTTCCTCTTCCTCGTTACGCCTCCTCCCCCCATTCCCCCTGTTCCTCCTGCCTCCTGCGTCCTCTTCCTCCTCATCATCCTGCTATTCCTCTCCCTCCTCTTTTTCCTCCTCTCCTCTATCTTCCTGCCCCTCCTCCTTTCCCTCCTCCTCCTGCCTATTCCTCAAGCCTTATGCCTCCTCCTGGGGCCTTCTTAGGGTCTCCTGGAGCCTTCTGGGCCTCCCGGGACGTCCTGGGGCCTCCCAAAGGCATTATTATTCCCCGTTGTTTTCCTCGTCCTTCTCGCCCTGTGCCTCCTCCTCCTCCTTTTCCTCCTTCTCTTTCTTGTCCTGCATCCTCCTTCCTCCTTCCTCCTCCTCCTCCTCCTCATCCTCCTCCTCCTCATCATCCTCCGCTTCTTCCCCCTCGTGCGGAGAACGACCCACAGGAAGCGCACGACGTGCGTCCCAAGAGATACAAGCCGGAGGACGACTCAGAGGAAGCGCGCGCCGGAGGACGACCCGGAGGACGACCCGGACGAAGGATGGGAGAATACGGAAGGGGCTCCCGCTTGAGATTTCCTCGCAATTCACTCACAGACGAGCCTCCCGCTTGATACTTCCCCAATATTCAGGCTTCGGGAGCCCCAAAGTGGCGACAGTTACAGGTGCGAGGACGACCCGCTCGGATTAAAACCGTGAAGCGCGGGCCCCATACGGAAAGGGGCTCCCGCCTGAGATTTTTTCGCAGTTCGCACACAGACGAGGTCCCCTGCCTGAAATCCCCTTCATATTCAAGTTTAAAGAGCCCAAAAGTGACGACAGTTACACGGATGAGGACGACCCGCTCAGATTAACAGCGTGAAGTGCAGGCCCCATAGGGAAGGGGTTCCCGCCCGAGACTTCCTCACACTTCACTCACAAACGAAGCCCCCGCCTGATATTTTTCGCACATTCCGGCTTCAGGAGCCCGAAAGTGACGACAGTTGCACGGATGACGATGACCCGGTCGGATGAAGAAAACCATGAATTGCGGGCCTCATAAGGAGGGGGCTCCCGCCTGAGACTTCTTCACGAATCACTCACAAACAAAGCTCCCCGCCGGACACGTCCCTCTTATTCAGGCTTCAGGAGCCCAACAGTGACAGTTACACGGATGAGGATGCTCCGCCCGGATTAAAATCATGAAATGTGGGCCCCGTAGGGCGGGGTTTCCCGCCTGAGATTTCCCCGCGGTTCACTCACAGACGAGGCCCCCGCTTGATATTTCCCCCATATTCAGGCCTCAGGAGCCCAACGCTGACGACAGTTACATGGATGAGGACGACCCGCTCAGATTAAGAACGCGAAGTGCGGGCCCCATAAGGAGGTGGCTCCCGCCTGAGACTTCCTCTCATTTCACTGACAAACGAGGTACCCGCGTGATATTTCTCGATATATTCAGGCTTCACGAGCCCAAAATGACGACAGTTACACGGATGAGGATGACCCGGTCGGATAACCAACATGGAGTGCGGGCCCCATGGGGAAGGGGCTCCCGCTTGAGAATTCTTCGCGATTCACTCACACAGGGGGCTCCCGCTTGATATTTCCACCAAAGTCAGGTGTCAGAGACCCAAAAATGACGACAGTTACAAGTCGTGTGTGGTGCGCGAGTGAGTATGATGATGATGTTGATGATGATGACGATGATGATGATGATGATGATCATCATCATCATGGCGGTAGTAGTGACGTTGATGATGATGATCGATGGCCGATGGCCGAAGGTGATGGCGATCGATGGTGAGTGATTGACTATGATGATGATGGTGGTGGTGATGGTGAGGAGCGATGGTGATGATGACGGGTGACGGGGTGAATGCGTGAGTGAGGCGGAAAGCCTCCTCCTCCTCCTCCTCCTCCTCCTCCTCCTCCTCCTCCTCCTCCTCCTCCTCTTCCTCCTCCCCCCACATTCCCCCCGTTCTTTCCCAAAGTACTTCTTCACTGCCTGCAACACAGATCACCATTGGCCTGCAGACTATCGTCGTGCATCCTCAGCAGAAGAAGACCGCCATGAGGAGGTGCCTCCCTTCACAGAAGAAGGAAGGCGAGAACCCCACGACGGCCGGCGTTTCGGCCGCTGGCGGGCTCCCGGAGGCACCCGCCGAGAGCAGCCCTCCCGCGGCGCTGGCGCCGCGCGGAAGCGCCCGAACCGCTTCCCCAGACCGCCTTTCGTCGCAAGGGGGCCACATGCGAACCCTATTTCTACCCTCCCCCTCAGAAATCGTGGGGGTAGAAATAGGGTTCGCAAGTAGCCCCCTAGTCGCGAGGAAAAGATCACGGCTGGAGGTTTTCGGTTTCTCAGGGAGGGCCCCACGAGGCCCCGGGACCGTCCAACATCGGGTCGGGGATGAGAAGCCTATCCCTGGGAAGGGCTTGTCTGTCCAGGCCGGACCAGGATGAAGTGTTCCAGAGCGTTCCGGGACGCTTTGGGGAATGGCAGAGGCGCCCGATACATGTTCCAAACCGCCAGATCTCAGAGATCCTCGCTTTGTCCCGGTCCAATTTGGTCCCGGTCTTGGTTCTTTTACTCGGGGGCGGCAAACAGGGGGGTGATGACGAGGGGGGGGGGGACATGATGTTTCCCCAGATTTCACGGCGCCTCTTCTTATTGCATTACGTCCTTGGCCCCCCCGCTGGGCCGCGCACATGCTGCCAGTCATGATTTGCACCTCCCCTCTTGGACACCCCCCTTTTGGCCGCTCCCGATTGACATCAAACCTTTGGGGTGCATTTTGCGGAAATAGCACGGCGCCGGAGACCCGGGGCCGCCGAGGCTTCTCGACTTCCGCCTCGTGGGCGACGACCTCTGCGTGGGCCCGGGCCAGGGCGGGGCCGGCGACTGCGACAGCCCCGACAGGACCGCCCGGTTCAGGAGGAGGAGGAGGAGGAGGAGAAGGTGGACGACGATGACGAGATGGAAAAGGTGAAGGAGAAGGGAAGGTGGACGAGGAGGAGGAGGAGGACGACGACGACGAGGAGGACCCTGAGATTTGGGCGGCGCCATTTGTTCACACCGGACGTGTTCGCCCAGTGTCGGGCCCTGGGACCAGCACAGATCGGATCGGTTCGAAAAATGCCGCAGTAAGAGGGGGTATAGGGCTCCAGTCGAAATTGCTGGCGATGTTGACTTTTTTTCAAAACATCGGATCTCAGGGCAGGAGGAGGAGGAGGAGCAGCAGGAAGAGGAGGAGGAGGAGAAGGTGGACGACGAGGACGAGGTGGGAAAGATGGAGGAGAAGGAAAGGTGGACGACGAGAAAAGTGAGGAAAAGGGGGTGGAATATACGGACGAGGACAAAAGCCAGGATGAGGAGGCGGAGGAGGAGGAGGAGAAGGAGGAAGAGGAGGAGGAGGAGGAGGAGGAGGAGGAGGAGGAGGAGGAGAGGGAGGAATAGGAAACGCAGCTGGGGGTGAAAAAGGAGACGAAGAAGACGGGAGAGGAGGAGGAGGAGGAGGAGGAGAAGGAGAAGGAGAAGGATGCGGAGGGGAACATATAATGAAGGGTGAAGGAGGAGGACGGGGGCGAGGACGAGTTTGAGAAGAGGGATCAGCAGCAGCAGACGGAGGGCGCGGAGAAGGAGGGAGGAGAGGAACAGGAGGGAAGGGAGGGAGGTCTCTCTCCCGCCTGATCCTCTTCGTTCCTTTTCTTGTTCGGGGGGGGGGCTTCGGTTTCCAGGTTCGGCTTGTTGGCTCCGTCGGTCCTCTGCGGTCTTCCAGCCTCGGGCGTCGGGCTCCCCGGCGGCATGCTCCACGCCGAGAGCGTTCCGGGGGGGGGCCCGGGTCGCCCCGAACGGCCGCCGGAGCCGCCGGAGAGCCGGGGCACGGTTCGCGCTGAAGAGACAGCGTGTGACGTGGCGCCGCTGGCCTGCTCAGTACGCAGCTACACGTAAGGGTGGCCCTTCGCCGGAGTGACCTGTGGTGCGGGCCCACGGGGGTCCACGATCGCCGAGCGCGAGGCGGCAGCGGCGTCTTGCGCGCCTGCGTTTGGCCTCCCCCCCACGGCCCCCAAGCAGCCGCGCACCAAAGGTCACTCTTACCCAGGGTCACTCTTACGTGTCATGTCACAGAATTACACGCTATCCCCCACCTTGGGGATAGCGTGCACAGAAGAAGCCCTGGCAGGGAGATAGCGCGCACAGAAGGAGCCCTCGCGGGGGGATCGCCCCCCCGGGGATAGAGTGCTTTTCGGGGATCAGCGCTGCACGCTGCCTTTCCAACGCCAAACGCGTGGCCCGAAGACCAAGGGTACCCTCAGTGCCGACGGCGGGGACTTGCGGATGAACGCACTCAGAGAGCGCTAGCGCGCGCGACGTCATCGGTGAAGGCCAGCGTCGCCGCGCTTGCGGCAGGGCCCGCCTGCTACCACCCAGGCATGCCGCCGCGTCCCGACGCCCAGGCTTCCGACGGAAAGATCTCTCGGACTCCGCGGACCACAGCAGCCGCGATCGAGGCCTCCTCGCAGCGCGAAAAAAACAGACCGGTTTTGTTCAATGTTTGTTCGGGCTCCGGGGGCCCTCGCCAGGCCCTGGGGCCGTCAACAGACCATGCGGGATGAACAAAAATGCCCACGGAACACGTCGAGACCTCTGGGGGTCGACGCTGCGAAACAAAAACGTGATGTCGGGAGCATCGGGGCCCCTTATCCTCGAAGGCAGCGTTTCGCCCAAGACTTCTCCCCAAGGTCTGCGACCCTTCCCCCGGACTGGCTTTCCTCCTCATCCTCCTCCTCCTCCTCCTCCTCCTCCTCCTCCTCCTCCTCCTCCTCCTCCTCCTCCTCCTCTCCTCCTCCTCCTCCTCCTCCTCTCTCCTCCTCCTCCTCCTTCCTCCGCCTCCCCTTCCTCCTCCGCCTCCCCCTCCTCCTCCTCCTCCTCCTCTTCTTCCTCCTCCTCCTCCTCCTCCTCCTCCTCCCGAGTCGGTTGTTTGCCGGTCCTGGGACCTGGTGTGGGCCCCGGAGGCCAAAAAGTGCCCCCCCCCCTCCCCCCGAAAATGAGCTCCGTTTTATTTTATCCGGACGAGAGCAGAGTATAGGGGAAAAGTCTCGGGCACGGGGCGTCGGCGCAGGGCCGCCTTCCACCCCTTCAAGAAGTTCGACGACTGGATGAACTGCTTCAACAAGGCGATCGGGAGGATCTGAGCAGGCCCCGCCCTGGGGGGGGGCGGGAGAGCTTGCGCGCGGAGGGCGGAGGGGTGCGAGGGGCAGCGGCGACGGGGCTCGAGGTCGGGCTCGCGCATCCATCGCGCGCGCCCGCGAAGGGGCACGAGGTCCGAGCAGACAGATAAAGTATCCAAGGGGACGACGGCGGAAGACGATTCGAGCAGTGGCGAAGAGCCCTGGCTCGCCTGCAGGCCTACCAAAGACTGTTCTGAGATCCTCTTGTGGTCTGCACAAGATGTTCTTAGAACATGTCTGGCTGAGACTGTCGTGTTTCAACGCAGAGGGTTTCTGTTCTAAGAACATTGCGTTTGTTCTTGGAGCACTATTGGGTTCTAAGATCATGTCGTGGTAGGCCTACAGGAATGCGGCGACGGTCGGTCCCTGCTCAAACGACAGCGAGGACGACACACGACATGACGAGCGAAGGAGCTCGGCGACGCGCCCGACACGACCCGCGGCACCAGACAAGGATACATAGTCGGAAACTGGAACACATACATTACCAGTGGCGGGTTGCTTTTTCAATCCCACGACTTTTCGAGGGTCGGGGACGACGTCGGGGTGGTATGGTGTATATTGTTCCCCCGTGTTCCAAGGGAAGCAACGAAACATGTATACACCAGGATCCCGTATACACCAAGATCCCTGTTCCTGTGCGAAGTTCAGCTCAGGGTCGGAAAAAACGGCGGTGTATAGAGCTCGTTTCCCTACATAGGGCGAGGAATGGGGAGGGGAGGAGGGCGAGGGATGGGGAGAATGGCGAGGGGCAGCGGTGGCAGGGAGGAGGATCTGGGGCGAAGGAGGAAGGAGGAGGAGGAGGACCCAGGGAGGAGGAGGAGGAGGAGGAGGAGGAGGAGGAGGAAGGGAGGGAAAGGGGGGAGGAGGGCGAGGGTGGGGAGGGCAAGGAGGACGAGGGGGAGGGGGCTGCGAGGGGAGGAGGAATAGTGGAAAGACGGACGTGGGCGGGGGAGGAATGAGGGGAAGTGGAAGGCGGAGCAGCAGGAGGACGAGGAGCACGAAAAGGAAGCAGGAGGCAGGAAGAGCAGAAGCTTATACGGAAATAGAAATACGATCAAGGGTAAGAGGCGGAGGAGGAGGGGAGGAGGAGGAAGCGAGGGGAGGGAGGTTGTCCTTGCTCTTCTCGCTCCTCCTCCCTCCTCCTCCTCTCCTCCTCCTCCTCCTCCTCCTCCTACTCCTACTCCTACTCCTCCTCCTCCTCCTCCTCCTCCGCCTCCGCCCTTTCCTCCTCATCCTCGCCCCCCTCCCCCTCCACCCCTTCACCGTCCCTCCGATATGGAAGCTCTTTCTCTTCCTCCGGCCTCCTCCCCCCTCCACGTTCTAATCGCTTCCCGAGGTTATATGCGCTGCTGATGGGGCAATGCAACAGCGACTCCCAGTATCCGAAACTGCGCCCTCTGCTTGGGGCAAACAGGGGCAAGGCCCATCGCATCAATTCGCGCGGGATGGACGTTCGGCACCTGCGCTTGAGTAGACGGGCAGTTGCTCGCTGAGGCAACTCCTGTGTTATGACCACTTCGAGTTTGCACTCTCCGCTCTCCTTTCCTCCCGCTCCCTCCCTGGACATCTAGGGCTTCGACTTCTTCGATGCGTGGGCCCCGGGACATCTCGACCTCGTCCCCAGAGCCGGCCTTTCGTCCAGAGTCTTTCTGTTGCCGGCCCCGAGGCCCAGAGCTGGCCGCCAGAGGCCAAAACTATCAGTAAGCTGGCGTATGGACTTTCTCGATGATCAGGCGTTTGACAGGGGGGGTCGAGAACGGGGGGGACATCGAGGGTTGCAAGAAATGGGCCCTAAAGGGCCCCCTGGGGGAGCCGAAGGTGCACCTTTCTCCACCCCTCCGACCCCCCCCCCCATCGATTGCCCCCACGTCAAACAACGCCCGAGATGCGTGGGCCCCCAGACCTCTCGACCCTTCCCCCCGGGCCAGCTTTTCATCCCGAGTCCTTCTGTTGCCGGTCCCGAGGACCGAAACCAGCTTCCAGGTTGTCCGTCGGGGGCACTCGAAGCAGTGAAGTGGCCATCCCGTGTGGTGAGCCAGTGGGGATTCGGGGGTGGCCGCACGGTTTGGGGATTTGGATCGTTCTACGAGGACGTTTCGGCGATTGGGACCTCCGAGGTCCCAGAGCCGTGCGGTGACGGACCGTGCGGTGAAGTCTTTGGGCATTTCGGGGTCACTGGAGCGTGTTTCTTTATTGCTTGGGGCATAATAGTTGGCATTATAGTCCCCGGCCCGCCCTTCTCCCCCCTATGACGTAACGCCCCTCCCCCCCTAGTGCGCTCCAGGCACTGCCGCCGTGCGCACGGCGGGGGGGAGGGCGTTACATTGTACCCCCCCCCCTGACCCCCCCCCTTTCGTGCCCATTGCCGCCGAAAACAAGGGAACGCGCTCCTACAGAGGGCCCGTCGCCGCACCGCTTTGGGAAGCCCAGGCCTCGCAGCCCAGGCCTCGCAGCCCCTTCCCCAGCGTTTCCCCATCATGCCTCCCTCTGACCCCCCCCCTTCCCCTTCATGCCCATCATATCGCCGAGAATGAGGGAGCGCGCGCTCCTGCGGGGTCTGTCGCCGCATCGCCGTGGGAAGCCCAAGCCTCGCAGCCCCTTCCCCAGCGGTCTCCCCACCATACCCCCCTCGGACCCCCCCCCTCCCCTTCATGCCCATCCTATCGCCGAGAATAATGGAGCGCGCTCCTGCAGAGGGCCTGTCGCCGCGTCGCCGTGGGAAGCCCAAGCCTCGCAGCCCCTTCCACGGCGTTTCCCCATTCATACCCCCCTCTCACCCCGCCCCCTTGGCATCGCTCGGACGTGTGCATTTTTTCCTTCGGCGAGGACCATCGAGGAGCATCCTTGATTATTTGGTGGAAAAAAACGCGCACGAAACCGAAAAAAGCACAGGGAATGGACGCGATGGCGAGATCATACCGCCGAGAATGGGGGAGAGCGCGCTCCTGCGGGGTCCGTCGCCGCACCGCCGTGGGAGGCCCAGGCCTCACAAAAACCCTGCCCCCGCTCTTGTCCCTCCCGAGGCCCTCGCGGCCAGCCCCCGGGGCCCGGCGCCGGCCTCCGGAGGCCGGGGTCTCGGAAGCAGATTTTCAGGAGGGAAAGAAACACACAGACGCAATTGATCGTCGACTCCCAGAAAATATGGGAAAATATCGGAATTGGGGGGGGAAGACAAAAACCCAGAAAATATAGGAAAATATGGGGAATCCTGTTATTTGTGTATTTCTTTGTGTGTCCTTTGGCCCCTTCAGATCTGCCGCATCGATGTTTTGTGGTTCGAGGCGCCAGACTTTGAAGTCGGGCCTGTGCCTCCACAGGAGGAAGGTTCGAAAATAGTCTGGCGACGATTTCTTGTCGAGCACGTTTGGGCTACTTGCGGGCATAGTTTGAGCATTGATTGGGGTCCGTCCAAAATCCGCCTGTAGGGGGACATGCCCGACCTAACATTGGAAACATATTTGCAGCATCGTTGTTTTCGAGGCGCCAGATGTTTGGGTCTTTCCCGTGGCGGCACCCACGGGGGGGGTGCGCGAGGGGGGCGGCTTTCTGAGGAGGCATGGGGAGCTTTCAAGAAGGCAGGTTTTGTTTTCAGAAGCCCGCTCGGCTTCCAAGACTTTTTTTTAGAAGCTTCCAGGGCCTTCTATGAGCAGGCCGCTGCCTTCTTGGAAGAGCCCCCCCGCCTTCTTGGAAGGCCGCCCCCCTTGCGCCAGCCCCTGGAGGAGGGCGCCGCCGATGCCCTTCCCCCACTCGTTCCTCCCTCTGTGTCTGCACGTGGCCCCCTGTATCGCGGGCCAAGAGACGGCTTTGGCACCTGGCGGCAGGCGGCAGGCCGTCCTTCGGCAGCCATGCCAGCCGCTCGTTTTTTATCAGAGGCCTGGCGAAGGCTGGCAAATCCGTGGCTGCTGCGACGGAGCTCCGGGAAATTTGGGAAGCAGCCCTGTTGATATTCAGCGCGCTGGGGCTTCTTCCGGTAGTTTGTTTTCTCTTTCCGGGAAGACCGTTTTAGCAGCCGCGCATTTGCCAGCCCTCGCCCAGCTTCCAACTTTCTGCTGCTAGATGCGCGTGGCCAGGAGCTCTCTGCAGTCAAGACGCAGAAACAACAACCATTTTAGGCGCGGGAGGGGCTCAGTGCTTCGGCCCGGTCCGAAGGTATTGTTCAAGTTTTAAGTCGGGCGTGTCCTTCCACAGGAGGAATATTCCAAAATAGTATGAAAAAGTCTGGGGGCGATTTTGTATGCTTGACTATTCTAGGTGTATTGTTTTGACAATGTTAATTTGTTCGCCCAGAATCCGCTTGTAGGGGACATACCCGACCTAAGTCTAGTTCGGGAACTATTCGTGGCCGAGGCTCGCCGTGGCCAAAAAATCCTTCTCGTTCCCCAGTGCTCTTTACGGCAGCACGACGACTGCGTGCTCCCGCACTGCGACTGCAGCGCTGCAGTTATCCTCCCGGGACTGCAGCACATAGAGCGTCCCGGAGGCTCTCAGAGCATTCCGAAGCCTTGTGGAACGGACGCAGTGCTCGATGCATTCTCCAGAACCGCCAAATCTCAGAGATCTCCGATATGCCCCGGTCCGATGTTGCCCCGGTCATAGATTCGTCTTCCCGAGGAGGAAGGGGAGGAGGAGGAGGAGGAGGAGGAGGAGGAGGATCATTTCTTCGTGATAGTGTTTTTTGTCATGATTGCCCCCTTCCCTCAGAGTGTCCAGGGGGCTCGAAGACAGCCACCGGACCCCCCTCGAGAGGTGCCCAGGACCACCCTGCGAAACAACCATACAAACGAGTTCGTCGGAGTTCCCGAGACGATATTAGGGTAGATTCGTATCGATCCACGGTCGCATGACGATACTTGAATCAGCTGTATAGTCCATCCCTCCGTCTCCCCTCCTCCTCCTCCTCCTCCTCCTCCTCCTCCTCCTCCTCCTCCTCCTGCTTCTCTTCCTCCTCCTCCTTCTCCTCCTCCTCCTCCTCTTCCTCACCACCACCACCACCATCATTATCATCATCAGCATCAGCAGCAGCATCAGCAGCATCATCATCAGCAGCATCATCAGCATCATCAGTCCCATCATCATCAGCATCATCAGCAGCATCATCATCAGATCATCATCATCAGCAGCATCATCATCACCAGCATCATCATCGTCATTCTCCTCCTTCTGTCAATCATCATCCTCCTCCTGCATTTGAAAGACACCAACCAACACAAACAAGCTCCTCAGCCACGCTTGCAGTTGCACGCAGAGCTGGTCCGCGCGATATCGGCGCGCAGCTCCTCTGGGGCGATCCCCCTCTGCCGGTACGCCATCTGCCAGGAGCGCCAGGGATGCCGTGCCAGTCTGCACCCCCTGGGCCCTCCGGTCGGGGGAAGGCCAGTTGAGGCAACGGCGGCTCTCGCGCCTGGCCCACAAGTCCGCTCGAAGTCGGTCTCGGGTCCCTTGTCGGGGTCCATCTTGGCCTCTTTTACGAGGCGCATCCAGCCGTGGCGACGAGAATCCTGCGCGAACGAACGGAGAAGCTGTGCCATGACGGCACATCGGCTGCAGTGCAAATGGTATATGAAACATACATGCGCTTTCATACTTGCTCGCCTGCTGGGCTCACGCGGGAGAGGGGGGGGAGGGGGAGGGGGGGGGGCGGTAAGCAGGCAAGCCCTTATGGGCCCGAAAGGGGGGCAGACGCCAGGGAGGCCGCCGTTGCCTCGACGGGCCCTCCTCCGATGATCGCCGGGCATCCGTGCTGCATTGTTGCAATAATCATCTCACCGATCCCGGCGCAGTCGCGAGGGGTGGCCTGGATCGGGGGCGGCCAAGAGGGGGGTGATGACTACGGGGGGGTGGACATCATGGCGAGGGCCATGTTATTTCCCCAGATTTCTTGGCGCCCCCATTTATTTCATTACGTCCCTGCCCACCCCCCCTCTGGGCCGCGCACATGCCGCCGGTCATGATTTGCGACCCCCCTCTTGGACGCCCCCCTCATGGCCGCCCCCAAGATGATTGGTGTCGTTGCTCCCCCATGACGCCCCGCAGCCACCAAACAACCCCAGGAAACCAAGCAAAGAAGTTGCTAGGGACCCCCAACAAAGCTCGCCCCGTTTCTCCTCCTCCCCCTCTGTCCCCACCCACTCGAACGGTACCAGCTCTGCCCATTTCGCGCCTCCCTTGCCGCTTCCACTCACAGGTTGCAACCCAGCGCGCCCGCTTTAGACTCGCCTTAGCCGCTTTATTCCGCGCTGATAGAAAGGTTCCGCCTTCCCAGATTTCACCTCTTACAACGATTTTTCCAAGTTTGTAGCGGAACTTCTGCTCAAATACCACGGCCGCCATGCCCCGCCGCGCTTCGATGGCATTGGCCCTGGCTCTCCACCGCTTTCACGCATCCAGCTGTTCATTCCGCTGGTCATGCCGTTCGTCCTTCGCCTGCATCGTCTTCGTGCGCCTCCCCCGGTCACTGTGGCAGGAGACGTCACTCCAGGGTCCGTCTGGGCAGCCGCCCATCCGCCAGGACCGGTAATGGGAAAAGCACACACTTATTCCAACAAGTCCACCAACGAAAATTACAAGGACCCCGGCCGCGCGCCGGAGCTCTCAACGATCCCCCCCCGGGCTAGTCCAGACTGTGTCAGCGCAGCTTGCGGACCTCACGCTCTTCATGCTCACGCCTGCGGGGAGAACCACAAGTGTCGGACATTTGCCCGACACAACGTTCACATCTACGGTGTCGGCTAAGGGCCCCAATCTTTTGGTGATTGTGCCACGGCAGCCCTGCAAGCAGAAGAGAGCGGGGAGGCAATGGACGGTCTGGCGGTTGTGCCGCCAGCACTCCGAGGGACAGCGAAGCGGATCTGGGAGAATCTGTCGATCCCTTGGCACATGACTTTTCACCATACCCCCACATCCCCATAGGGTCACGATGCACAGTCCTCCCGATGACCGTGCAGCTGACGGCGGTCAATGATACAGTGACAGCACGACATACGCGGAGCATCCTTTTGATTGTGTCACGGGATGCTCCGAGTACCGAGGCCACCACCACCACACGACGGAAGCATACGCCCAATACGCGGACGAGGGGGAACACATCCAGGGCAAGTATCCACGGCGACTCGGGGCACACTTTCCGAGCAGCGCCGCCGGTGGATGCTCGGCCTCCCGCGCTCCCACGACGCGCCGAGGGAATTACACTCTGGATGGAAAGCAGTCGGAATGAGCATGATTGTCATCACCACTTGCACTTCTTGCGTGGGCGCAGGCGGCAGCAGAGGCAACATGCGACACCTCGGCACCCAGGGGCCCGAGCAGCAAGCTCGAAAGCCCTTCCAGAAATGGGTGCTCGGGGTGATGATATGGTCAGTGGCGAATTCAGATTTTAACAACGTCCGCCGTGCGGCCAACGCCTGGTCGCGGCTCACCGGCATGGCGCGCGAGCGCGTGGACGGATGGCCGCCAGCTGTCCTGACCGAGGGAGGACCCACCGACGATCTTCCCGACGCACAGTCCAGACGAACGGCGGGGCCAATTTCGCGAGGAGCAGCGCGCTTCGGGATTGTCGGCGCTGACGAACTTCAACCGATCGCCGCAAGAGCGCATCGACAACCTCTTCGCGAGGTTCGACATCCTCCGAAACTGGGCGCGGCAAGCTGGCCAACTCATGATCAGGCGCCGGCTGCAAGGACGCGCCCCGCGTCTTCTCCACGAAGTTCGCCCGGGCCACGCGCCAACCAGAGTGCGACGCCAGACTCGCAGGGCGGGGCCCGGAGCCACGGTTCAAGCATGAGACTCTTGGTGCCCATGGCACCAGCGGTACAGAGCTAGCGCCGCGCTTGCTGATGATGTCCAAGCGCGTCGACGACCTGGACGCACGGAGCACGTCGACCGGCTGATCTGCCACCTCGAGAGCGTCTTCAAAAAAAAAGAATTGTAATTATGACGACTGCACCAACTGCGGAGCGCACCCGCACCGCAATGCCGATGGCACCGTAACGCTCGACCAGGACGAGTACACCGACGCCCTGATACCAATCGGGCACGCCGACCCGGCCAAGGCCAAGGCCAAGGCTGACGAGTTGGCAGAGGTCAGCCCCCAGACCTCCCTGTCCCCCTCCAGGGAACAGCGGCCTACGCGCTGCTCACCCAGAACCACGTCGCCGCGTGCATCGTCGCCAGAACTAGCTGCTCATCCGACACGCGATGCAACTCAACTCGCGCGTCCTGGTTATGCCGAAGATCAAGGCACGCGTCACATCTCCAGCCATGGAGTGCGCCCGGCGACTCAGCGCCCACATCGATGGGCCGTTCAAGAAGAGGGGGGAGACAGGGCACGGCATGAGAGGAGCCGTGTACACGCGTCTCGGCAAGCGACGCGGCACTGGCGAACAGGCGTGCTATTCGCTGGACGCAGCGAGCCAATCGCACAAGCTGGCGCGCAGATCCTTGTTCGGCCCAGACCTGCTCGCAGCACGCGGCGCAGCCGACGGACTGCAGGCGCACCTCCTCGCGCTGTACGAGGCGCTGCACGTCCCCGTCTATGTTGAGGTGATCAGGATGCCGGGGGGCGAAGGAGGCCGCGCGGTCCCTGCTGACCTCGTCATCGACGACATGGCCGTCTTCAGCGCCATGCCAACGCTGGCGCGGCCGCCTTCTGAGAACAGCATGGCAGGCCACCTGCGGCGGTTTGCCGACCAGCTGCGCACCGAGCAGGTCGAGGACCCCTTCCGGCGCGGCATTCGGGACATGCGGGCCGACCCTGACCATGGGCAGCAGGGGATGGGAGGTCATCCTCAGTGCGAGGGACGGCCAAATCAACCACGACCATGACACGGTCAAATTCAGCGACAAGAAGACGAAGGTTGCCCCGAGCTCCCAGCACAGTTCCCACACCTTTCAGTGGAGGGGCGACCCGCGCGGTTGCGTCACGAGGGCGGCCACCGTAATTCCCCGCACGGGCACACGGATCGGCTTACCGAAGCAGCCACGAGATCGCAAATTTGCGAGAAGTGACGGGCGAGCGCAATAAGGTAGTCGAGCGCACAAGGGAGCATTGCAAGTTGGGAATCCAATACGGCCGTTCCCGAGTTTGCCCCCCTTGCCCCACCAATAATCTCTCGCTCTCGGCAGACCCGCACTTGTGAATTGCGGGCACGGTCAGCAGAGCACCCCAGCAGAATTCCAAGCCGCGGTTTCCTGCGCGGCTTGCGAACGGGAGACCAACGACGGAACGATTGGCTTGAGCACAAGGCTTGAACGGCACCAGCTCTGCCCACTTCACCCCCCGTACCGCTGCCACTTACACGTTGCAAACTAGCGTTCCCGCTGTAGACTTGCCTTAACCGCCTTACTTTTCGTTGATAGGAAAGCTCCCCCTTCGCGTCTTCCACCTCTCACATCCATTTCTCGAGTCACCCCCTCTTCATCCGCCTCGTCCCTCTCTGTTCGGTTCTGGCCACCCCCTTTCTTCTGAAGGCTGCCGAAACAATCAAGGAAACCCTTCTCTTGCCCAGCGCGGGGAGCAGAGGGGGGTTGGTCGGCCCCGCGTGGCTCCCAAGCCCGCGTCGGCCGGACGGGACCAGCGGGGATTGGTTGACCGTGGTGAATATCAGCAACGCGCGGAGGCGGGGAGGGGGAGGGGAGGAGGCTTCTCAGAGGCAGCCTCCTTCTAAGAAGCCTCCCCCCCCCATCCCCTTTGTGCGCGCCGACAACCAAAAATAAGCGCTGACCCCGCTGCCCCGCCCCGAATGCGAATTTCCGGCAGGCCGGCCCAGGATGACCCTGAGGCCGTAGAGTCGCAGTATTCAAAACGGGCGACGTTGCTTTGTGTCGGGAATGGCCCTCGCAGATCGATCTAGCTTGAAGGACACCGCAGAGCAGTGAGGTCCAGGGCACTGGTCGAGTTTTCTATGATGTCGAATTATTTCGCGACGTCGGATCTCAGGGGAGGAATCTTTCCACAGCGTTCCGGGACGCTCTCAAAACTATCTGGAGCGCTTTGGAACGGCCGCTTGCCCTCCTTGCACAAGGAAGTTTGACGCACATGACGCGGCCCGCCCGGGCGAGAAGTGGACAAACATGCGAGGTGTTCCGAAAAGGGCTTCGCCTTCGAGGATCGAAGGAGTTGCCATCTCTTCCTCGGCGGAAGGTCGGTGGAAGCTGGCGGAAGTAGAACGAGGCCGCCTCCGGCGGCGGAAGCCGGCGGAAGCCACACACGCGCTCCCGAGAGATGACATCATTTTGGAGTTCAGGGTTTCCAGAAGCAGCCATTCAGGAGGGGAAAAAACACAGACATAATGAATCGTTGACCCCCAGGAAAACATGGGAAAACATTGGAAGTGGGGGGGAAGACAGAAACCCAGAAAATATCTGAAACATCTGGCAATGCCTGGCATCCGTGTGTATTGATTTATCTGTTTGTGGGCCCCTTCAGTCATGTGGCCTCATGTCTTGCCGGCGCTCGGCCCGGCCTCCGGAGGCCGAGGAGGGGCGTCGAGGGGACGCCCACGAGCCTCGATCCGCCGATGGATCTGGCCAGCTTCCTCCTCCTCCTCCTCCTCCTCCTCCTCCTCCTCCTGCTCCTCCTCCTGCTCCTGCTCCTCCTCCTGCTCCTCCTCCTCCTCCTCCTCCTCCTCCTCCTCCTCCTCCTCCTCCTCCTCCTCCCCCTCCTTCTCCCACCCTCCTCCTCCTCCTCCTCCTCCTCCTCCTCCTCCTCCTCCTCCTCCTCCTCCTCCTCCTCCTCCTCCAGGAGCAACTCTGGCCCAGGACACCGCTCAGCTCCGACAGCGCGCTTGCTCATCGAAC